TTCTGTTTTATCTGCGGTAGCTGTTTCGAGAGCTACATTCTATTGTTGATCTGGTGATTTGTTTTTCAAAGTGCAAATAATGGGTAGAATAAATCTCAGCTGAACAATAGGCATTGGTGTTGAGTAAATGAGCTTTCCACGGGTTTCTGCAGCGGAAAGGATCCAAATCAGGGGTCTTTTATATGTTTTGAATGGTGATAATATAAGAATAGGCATGAATTATCTAGTCTTATAAGTTTTGGATGGTGACACATAATAATAGTCATGAATTGAACTGATTTAACAAAACAGGTTCGAATAACATCTGAAAACTTGATCCCTATGCGTCTAGGGAGGGAAAATAGAATGACCATGGGAATATAATTCTTTTAAAAGCCCTGTATGATGCAGTATAAAATGAGCATGGAGGCAAATATTTGTCATGAGACTTTTAAATGGACTAGAACCTATGTTACCCGGACACTTCATTTAGGTTGCCGTATTCGCGGCTGACACTTCCCTAATCTGTGTCTGTGTTGGACGCTCCTTGGAAAGAAAAAGCGATGAACATTTATAAACATTTATTCAGACACGAACTGAATATATAACACATGTTTTATTAAAAAAAACTCGGGATACACTTCTTGAACGTATTTGGTACACTTAACCTCAAATTCATGTAACACTTTGGACTCGAGACATGTTTGTTTTAGCACGTGCCTAGCTCATAAATATGAGTTTAAAGGGTTGTTTGGTCATCTATCTAGCTAAAAAACGAGCGGATTTGCAATTTATAATCTACTCAATAAAAGAAACATAAGAATGGTAAATTTATTTTAGTTCTCATAACATGTGAAAAACAATATTGATCTCATATAACATTATTAATTTTAATATGTATGTGTTCATGTTTGCACCGGGCCACCGGCACCCGTATCCCTGTAACGTAGACTATAACTCTTGTATTTTATAATCTTTTGATGGGGATATGATAAGGTTACACATGAATTGTATTGATCTAATAAAATAATTTCAAATATAGATCTGAAAACTCTATTCCGGAGGGACAAAAAAGTTTTAAGGGGACATATATCCATGGGAATTCTAACTGATCAGGATCTTATCTATAGTTCTAGTTTAAGCTTTGCGTGGTTCAATATAAAGTAAGTATGCAGTAAAGTTTTTGTCCATGAGTATTTTATATTCACAACTGTTATTTGTCATAATTGTTAGATATTATTGATAATTTAGTGTTAATAGATTTAGTAGATATTATGAGATATTGTTGAGAAATTGTGAGACGTGATTAGATATGATTTTATCTCATACCTATTTTGTAATATCCTCCTAATCTCTATTTAAGACAGATTAGGGTTAGATGGATAGTAAATCTTGGCCTTTTCTATTTCTCTACATGGTATCAGAGCTAACTCAATCCGAGCAACTTCTCCCACCTTTTTACATCTTGAGGCCATCGAGTGGGTTTTGCATGGCCTTCATGCTTCCCTCGGCAGTTACGATAACATCTTTGGTGGCTTTGACATATTTGATTTCACATCATTTATTTACTAGATCTTTGTTGAATCTCAATAAAAAAAACCCTACCCTTAGGGTTTCTCTCACAGTACTGTTCATCATGAACAGTTTCGCTCCTTGTCATCTTCCGATGGTTGGATGCAAAAGTACGTAGTTGATTTTGATGTTGCTTCTACTGGTTGACCCGCATATGGTTTTATCGGCTTACCCGCTTATGGTTTCTTTCTACCAGCTATTCCGCCTAGGGTTTCTCTCTACTGGCGGACCCGTCTAGGATTTCTATTGGCTGATCCGCTTAGGGTTTCTTCTGGCATACTCGTCTAGGATTTATATTGGCTTACCCGCCTAGGATGTTTCTACTCTCTTACATGTCTAGGGTTTATTTTGGTTGTGACTACACTTTTTGATCGCTGAAGCAAAGATACATTACCAAAACTCTTGCAACTAATCGTTCTATTTCCATTTCTAACAAGCTGGACATATATAATAAACTAGGTAGGATGCACGTGTGTCTCACGTGGTTAAACATTTTAATTATTTTTCTTGTAACTGCATTGTGGACAAAATCAGTTTATAGCATGAATATGTATTGTGAATAGAAAAACTTAAGAAGTTAATCAAAACACAAAAAATT